ATTAGTTCTTGTACAATCTTTCCCAATTTTTTTGTAAATTTTTTTCTTGTATAGGGTGTCCCAAGATTTATACTATTCAAATCTTAACAGTTTTATTCTTTGGTTATATTAGTTTTTGTACATTTTTTCCAATTTTTTTGTATATTTTTTCTTTGTGCAGGGAGTCCTAAAATTTAGGCTATATTAGTCCTTGTACATTTTTCCCTATTTGAGACTAGTTTTTGGATTTTCTGGATTTCAGACACTGAGACAAAGTTCGATTTGGGAAAGTCTTCAATGCAATTAAAAAGTCTAAATTAATTTAAGGCAATCCTACTGAATTTTCTTCAGAACCAATTTTAATTGTCCAATTTTCAATATAAATTTTGAACAGTTCAACTTCAAACAACGCTAATTTTAGTGAGACCAAAATTTTGTAAATTAAATAGAAACCAAAAATTTTAAATCAAATATGAAATGATGAGATTCTTATTGGAACCATTATGTTCTTCTTGGAATCAGCATTATTTTGGAACCAATTTGCAGATTTTCTAGATTTTAAATGAATCGACAAATTTCGTTTGAAAATTTTAGATGGATTTAATCCAGGGCTGCATTCTGCAAATATATATATATATATAATATATATATATATATATATTTATATATATATATATATATATATATATATATATATATATATATATATATATAAATGGGTTTTAGATGTTAGCTGGCAAATTTATTTTACTGGGTCTTGAAATTAAGAGTAGCATGTGATGTTAGCTAACATCTTCAAAAAAATTTATACATTTTTGTTTTCAATTAATATAATTATAAACACAATTATAATTATATATTTTAGTTTTTTACTGAAACCAAATACATTAAAACATGCTAAAAACATTTTAAATTTTTATTAAAAACATAGCGGACAATAATATCGAGTCAAAAATACATTTTTTTGACTCTACTCATTTACGTAATGGTGCGAAATATAAATATAAATATAGATAAATTTAATAAATATGATAAATTAATTACTTAGATAGTAAATGTCGTTTTTGAAATAAAATAAATGTTGAAATGTGGTGACACTTGTTATAAAAAAAATGGTGCATGATGAGGACAAGTAAAAATAATTTAAAAAAAATACAAATTGCATGTACATTTTTTACTATTTTTATTTGTCGTCATGAAATTTTAAATCCTCAGTGTCACCATATAAAGTTGTAATAATTTTGTAAAAAAAAAATAAACGTGTTGTTGCTAGTAGATGAAATTTTATAAATTTTGTGTTCGGAAATTTTCAAACTTAATCGTATCGCAAAATGTATATATTTAAATTAAATAATTAAATTAATTATAATATTATTAAGTATTGCAATAATAAATAATGTTCTGTAAAAATTTAAAGGCTATTTGTTTATTTTGCTTTTGTGAAGTGATAATTTTTTTGTTTTTGAATGGCTAATGGCTTTTTTGATGGCCAAGTGGACTTTTTGATTTTTGGGAATTGATGTACCAAAAAATTTGATTTGTTTTAATTTTAATTCTGCCGCCACCAATTTTGCTTATGCAAGTACTCCCTTAACCACAAAATGTACTTTTCGTACATTTTGGTAAATTACACAAAATTTTGTTAGACAACCCAAAATTTTTTTGTGTACATCAATTCTACAATACTTATACTAAATTGTCCTACAAAATTTTTTGAAATTCAATTATTATTTTGTTTTGTATTTAATTTAAAAAAAACTGAATCGTGTGAAGTGTCTGCTATTATGTTGTGTTTCTCAAGATGGATTCTGTGCCTCCTGAATTTTAGGTAATTCGCTTTATAAATTTATTTATAATTAATAAATAAATAAATAAATAGTTTGTCTAATTTATTAAATAAATATTAGGCTCGGTCTACATTACATAAGCAGTGCACTTCACGCTTTCTGTTTTATTTAATTTGTATGTAGACTTCACCTAATAGAATCAAAATTTTGAGGGGTTTTTTTAAACAAAAAATTGGACAAACTATGTAGATATTTATGTTTGTGTATTTGTATAATTATTATTTTTTAAGTTTTGCTTACTAATATTTTGTATGCTTATTTATTTATTTTGTACTGTTTTGTTTGCATGTAGACACTTGAACAATTTAAACGGATTGTATTTATTTATTGTAATTATTTTATAAAAATTTATTTATATTATTTTAAACATTTAAACACACATACATTTGAAAAATAATAATTTATGAATAATATATTTTTAGGCACATGATAGAAAGTATCTTATGGAAACCAAAATTTTATGTGCTCATAATATTAAATGGATTATAGAGTATATTCACAATTTACTTAAAAAATGTAGAGAAGTCTTAAAAATGTAGAGAAGATTTTTTTCTAAATTAAATTATGCAGGAATTATTTTTATAAAATGCACAAATAGATATAGAAGTTATTACAATATATAAAAATATTTACAAAGAAAATTTACTAAATTTTTAGACAGCAAAATTAGACTCAGCAATAAATTATAGAACCAGTACCAGAAAATATTGAATTTTTTCAAAATCTATTCAGAATTCATTTTTTGCTAAGTAATTTAAAAAAAACTCATATTTTCTTTATCTAATAAAATAACATCTTTTTTATTTTGATGATAAATTAATTTTAAAAAATCTAACTAAATTTTATGAAAAATTAAAATATGCAAATTGTTAACCAATTTACTCTACGTTTAATTAATTAATAGTACTAGAAAATGTTCAAATAATTTTTGCTATTTTTTCAAAGAATTTATTTTTTTCTAATTATTTCTAAGTAATTTTATGAAAAATTCAAATATGCAAATTTGTAACTAATTTACTCTACATTTAATTACTATCAAATTTGAAATTTTATTCCAAAGAATTTATTGCACTAAAATTAAAAAAACAATAATTCTATATACTAAATTACAGAGATTAATGTTTATTCAGAGTTATATCGTAATTTAATTAAATTTTACAACTTATTGACAAAACTTGTGAAAAACAAGTAATTTTATAAAACACTCATATTTTGCTTTATAATAAAATAACTCTACATTTAATTAATATATAATTTGAAAACAATTTCTTTATACTAAATTATAGAGATATACTTTTCATTCAGAGTTATATCGAAATTTAATTAGTTTTTACAATTTTTTGACGCTATTTGTGAAAAAACAAATAAAAAATCAGATATTTAAATTTATCACAATACTCGATGGCAGTGAATTATGGAATCAAAATTATATTCTATATTTTTCTAAAAACAACAAATAATGCAATATTTTTTAAACTTCTATTTAATTATGATTTTTTTTTAAATTAATTTGTTAAAATTATTTACTAATCATATAAAGACAAGAGACTAATTAATCATAATTTTCAAAAGATGATAAAATTACCACACAAATATTTGTAAGAAGACAAATTAATCACAATTTACAAAAACGATAAAATAGATATTTTTTCGAAAATTATGTAATAAATTATATTCTAGATATTTCTAAAATCTACAAATTATGTAATATTTTTTGAACTTCTATTTAATTATGAATTTTTTTATAGAATTAATTTGTTAAAATTATTTACTAATTTCACAGAATAATGCAATTTACTACACAAATAATTTATAGAAGACAAATTAATCACAATTTACAAAAGATGATAAAATTACCAAACAAATAAATCATAGAAGACAAATTAATAAATATTTTTTCGAAAATTATTACTAACGTTTGATAAATCATTATAACTTAATTTACTAAAACTTGCTTAATTTATTTAAGTATCTATTATTAATTTTTAATTTCTTTTACGTTCTCTTCAAAATGTAAAATTTTTGGGTTGAAAAAATCTATATTATGGTTTAAATTAATAATATGTTCGGTTAGCATCGTCTTGAATTGTTTAGGATTTTTTGAGTTATTTTAATGTTGATAAAGACGTTTATACTCAGGTTTTGGCTAGTTTCTCCGATATAAAAAAGTTTGCAATTAGAGCAATTAATCTGATATACCAAGTTCCTGAGGCGGTCAGGATTAAACTTAGATTTAATTTGTGTAAAAATTGAACTAAGGGTTTTCACAAAATAATGCAATTTGCCACACAAATAATTTATAGAAGACAAATTAATCACAATTTACAAAAGATGTTAAAATTACCATCAAATAAATCATAGAAGACAAATTAATAGATATTTTTTCGAAAAGTATTACTAACGTTTAATAAATAATTATAATGTAATCCGACTTGTAAACAATTTTAGTACAACGACTAGTACTACTTTTACCAAAACAAAAACCCCTTTTAATATCGAACGACTTAGAAATCTCGTTTATCAAATTAATTGTCTAGATTGTAATTTAATTTACATAGGAGAAACAAGCCAGAACTTAATGAAACGTTTACAACAACATAAAAACAATTCAAAAAATCCGAGACAATTTAAAACTATGATTGCGGAGCATATTTATACTTTAAAACACAATATGGACTTTTCTAACCCGACTGTACTACAATTCGAACAAAATTTATTCAAACTAACGTTAGTAATACTAGTTAGTATTACTAACGTTTAATAAACAATTATAACTCAATTTACTAAAACGTGCTTAATTTATCACAATTTTATTTAAGTATTTATTATTAATTTATTTATAATTGCTAACAAACCTCATTTAAACGGTGGTTTTCTTATACAAAATCATTTCTGCTTTTTCATTTCCCTGTTTCTGAATTTATTTTAAACATCTAAACTTATAACACACATCTGCATTATTAGATATTTATTTAACAAAAAATTAGGTTGTCAAATATCTCCCTTCCGCTTTTTTGCTCTTGGTTTATAATACAAAAAGGCGGAAGGGAGATATTTGACAACCTATTATATTTCACCATCATACAAAAAAATCTTCTAAATCTCTCATTTACCATAACAAAATTTCTTTATACCCCAACTAATATATCAATCTATCTTCTATCTTTTACCCAGGGATGGACTCGGTAGTGCGTTCCGAGGGCCCCTCGTTGAGCAGTTCGGCGATCGTCGGCATCGCCGTCGGAGCAGTCGTGCTCCTACTGCTTCTGGTTGACCTCAGTTGCTACTGCGTTGCCAGGGCCGGACTTTTGGCGGCCGCCTGCCACGCCAGAACAAAACCGACGGACGACGAGGAGGCGGCCAAATTGGGAAGGTGAGTAGAAAGATCGATATATATATATATATATATATATATATATATATATTAAATGGTAGAGTCTTGGATTTGTGTATATTTTGTAGAGTTTCGAACAAGAATCCAAAAAGTAATAAAAAACAATAAAAGTTTTTTAATAAACAATTTCTTTATTTATTTATTAATTTACTGTCGACGTTTCGGAACTAGGTACGTTTCATCTTCAGGACGTCTGTCATGAAACATGATCTTGATGAGATTTAAGCAAACAATATGTTTAAGTAAAGAAAATGGATTTTTCTTAAATAATAAATTAATTGAAAAACTAATAATGTACAGAAATGTGATAAAATGATCAAAATAAAAATGATAAAAATAAATGAGGTGATTATCTAACAGGATATTAAAAATGATAAAAAATTTGTTTGAAAGTTATGAAAAATTTCAAAAAAGGTTAATGACAAAATTGTATTAATTACCAACAACAATTATACAAATTGTTGTATGTTTGAATATACGTTAGCAATTTTTCACTAAACAAGATTTTAACAAGAAATGAATTTATGAGTTATTTTCCAGCCGAATAGATAAATTTTGTAAAACTTTTCTTGTTTTTTTATTACTTTCTAGATTCTTGTTCGAAACTCTACAATATATATATATATATATATATATAATATATATATATATTAAATTTAAGGGGTTATTGTATAATGAATCCTCATTGCAAGGTAAAAAACTAGCAAACTTTTTTTCTTTATGTATTTTTTTTTTTGGTGTATTATTTTTGAGGTACTTGGTATAAAAGATTATGAAACAATTTTCATATTTTATATATACATATCATTTGTATCTATTTCATTATACAAATGTTTAGTTTTATGTAAATTAAATAAATGCATTGCAGTTATACAAGGGTGCTAGGGGCTTTTTATAACAGGGTTAAGTTGTAAGAAACGTTTTTCTTTAAGGATCCTAAATCTTATTAAAATATTTTTTGTCTCCATTGTAAACAGTCTACCATAATATTGTCGTAGTCTAATGTCCCCCAGGCCGACGCAATAAACAGGAGTGTGCAGGTGCGTCAGATTTTCCAGAAAATAGATCTCCAAATATATTAATATAAAAATAAATACTGTTACAACAAGTCCTTAGCTTCCTAACATCAATATTATTAATATTTTTCTTATCGTAAGAAAATTATATATAAATATATATATATATATATATATATATGTATGAATTTGATGTTGAAATAATATATTTAATTTGAAATGAAAAGTCATGCGTTACATCAATGAAAATAGTATGAGCGTTTTTAGAAATTTATTTATTTAAAATCCATACGTTTCGGCTAGCATCTTAGCCTTCATTCAGTGGCAATCAATTTAACTATGAAAATTTAAACTAAATAAATAATATGTAAGAAATTTCATAGAAAATCAATAATAATAATAATAATAAACACTTACAATATTGTATCTTAATATAACATATGAAACCATTATTATTAATCCATGGTATGAGTATGTGCACATTGATAAAGTATATATTTTTTAACATCACAGATGGTAAAACACACAAATAAACATGATAACTTAACAAATAGTCGAAACTATGTATTTACTGTTTGGAGTTTAAGATAGAAATGTCGCATTTTTCCTTAAAACAGTTTTCAGCATGCGTTCAAATTTTACGGGAAATTTAAAAAGTGATGGGATTTTTTAATAAATTTTGCCACGCTATTTAGGAACCACGTGTTTGTTTCGTTCAGGGCTGTATTGTCGAAGCGTTTGTTAATGACCCTGTCGTTATGTAATTGCAAAAAATATATATTTATATATACATATATATATATATATATATATATATATATATATATATATTTATATATATATATATATATATATATGATTTTGAAGCATTTTTTTAATTTTATTATTAAAATTTTATATCAAATATTATAATTTGCTATGAGGATTTATTATACTACAAATATTTAAGCTTTAACATGAAAATAATATAATACTAACAATCATCTCATTGTATATATTACCTACTAATACTAGGCTAATTTTTTTTTTTTTAGTATAATACATGCTTTTGTATTGTATTTATGACATAAAAAATGCTCATCTCATTTACTAATATAAACATATACTAATATTTATCTTTAATATTTTACTAATAATCTAATAAATGAACTAATTTTATGAAATCAAACAAACTATTTTACAAAAGTCAAGTATATGAGTAACTGTATATTAACTAAATGAAAAAGAACTTTTAAAATTTTATTTAAGAAAATCCGAGTAAAATTTAGAATAAACCTTGATAGTAACTGGCAAATAACAAAATAATAATAACAAATATATTAATTTTAAGGTAAAATAATTGATTTCTTTAGCACGAATAGTCAAATTTAATTAGAGTGAAATTCAAGCTCAATTTTAAAAATAATGTTTATTATCGATTTAAAGATTTAAACAATTTTTAAGAGCGTACTAATAAAAAAAATAAATAACTAAATTAATTAAAACAATTAATTTAATAGCACTAAAATTTGCAGTTAATTATATATACAAAATATTTAAGCTAGATGCATTTATTTGAAAATTAATTTAGCAAGAACAGATTTTGAGCCAATTATAGTCACGTAATGAAATTTAAGGTGAACTAAGGTAACTAAATGTTTTAATAATTTAAGATTAAAAGATTTCTTTTCATTTTGAAAATGTATTTAGTTAACTAACAGTGAGCAAATAGATTTTAAAATACTATTAAATGTGTCAATTTGATAAATAGCAAACATTTTTGGTAACAAATATTAAATTCTGTTGTAGACAAAAATATTTAAGAGCTAAACGGTTAACTGGTGGCTAAGAAGAACATTATTTTCCAAAAAAACTTCGATTTTTTTAACAGTTAATTACAAGAAATTATGCCAGCTAATATTTACAAAAAACTAATAAAGTTGATTCCCAACCAATATTTTTGAACGATTTTCGAATTTTCAAAATCGATTCAGAATTCGGGCTAAGACGTGGACGACCAATTTTCCATTTTTATGCTATTTACGAAGAAACGACTCGGCTGATCGTCGCGCAAAACTGACAAACAACAGTCCTCATCGAGATACATCGATTGGCTTTTAAATTTTTTAAATCGGTCCAGCCGTTCTTGGGATAAAAAGATAAAAAATCTGTTCACACACACACACATACTTTTTCCAAATGTTGGTCTCATTCGATTCAGAATGGCTTGAAACGTCGAGAAATCATAAAATTAGCAAATCGGATTTTTTTATGAAAACATAAACTTCTCCTTCGGGAAGTTAAGAATATCGGTATTACTGGGGTTGTTCCGGACACTATAGCCGTATCTACCTTCCAAAAATTTTGTTTTTTAAATTTTTTTATTTAGTGTTTATTCAGAATATATTTGATATAATTTTTATTAATTAATTTTAATAAACAATAACATGGTATTTTATCAAATTAAAAAAAAAAATCAAATTTTCTGTTTTATTATCATAATAACTGTATTACTACATTTTAAAAAAATATGCTAATAAATTAGATAATATTACCATATTTTAAAAAAATCCGATACCAAAAAAAATTCCGAGTTGAGAGATATGTATAGGACTCCCGAGTGAAGAGTGTTAATAATTTGTAATCTTATATATAAAAATGGAGCTCTGTTTCAAATGTCCGAATAAAACTCGAAAACGGCTGAATCGATTTGGCCAGTTTTAGTCTTGAAAAATTCGTGCCAATCCAGAGAAAGTCCAAAAGGTGAGAAATTATTTCAAATCCGCGTAGAAACTTTACATTTATAATTTGAAAATTTTTGTAGAAGCGTACCTTTGATAAAACAATGGACGGTGGCTAAACTTGAAATGTCAAACGATTTTGACAGATGATGTTCAATTACATTTAATAGGATGTTTTACGTGAATATTATTTAATTAAGAATAAATTGTAGTAAATAGTTTGGTTTGCAGTTTTATTTATATATAAACACTTTTTTGAAATGTTAATATGAAAATGCACTTTTTGGCATATATTTCTCAAACACGGTGCTCTGATAGATCTCATTTGTATAATTATATACTCATTAGTATTTATAAAACATTTCTAGGTTATATTATTTAAGTTATTTAAATTCAAAACCTAAATTTGGTATCGATCAAAGGGACATTTTGCCGAATAACATTTTCCAGTTATAATTTCGTAGATTTTATCGAAGAATAGATAGTAATATATGAAGGACCGGGTTTAAAAAGGTCCACCAGCGATGTGTCAAAAACCAGTAGAGTTAAGCATTGTTTAACAAGGAATTGAAAAGTAGAGAGAAAAAGATGTATAACCAGCTATAATCTTGATTCTTATGACTTTGCTATCTGGAGATAAACTGTAATCTTTGAAAATTCATAATAAAAGTATTTTCTTCCGTTGGCAGTGTAATTATTTTGTAAAATAACTTTAAAATTAAAATAAGACATTCAACCTGTTTGCCACCTGGCTGTTCCAAGTTAGGGTAAATGGGGGTAAAAAGGTCTAGATAACAATTTTTTGAAAGACAGCAAAAAAAAGCACATTTTTACAGTGATGAAGTAGCTGGCAGTTTTACTGACGTAGTCAGATAATTGTTCGTTTGAAATGTGTTATTTGTGATATGATTGGTTGCTTTTCATAATATAGTTTATATATGCTCAAAGTCAAATTGGACCTTTGTGCCTCGCCCTGCTCTACTCTATACTTTTTATTAAATTTACTTCAATTCATCGAATGTTACTTGAAACTTTTCAAAAAGCAGGTTAAAAGAAATACTTAATTCATTTTCTATCTCTCCTCGCAGAAATTTGAAAATTTTGTATTAGCTCAGTAGTATTATTTACAATTATACACAAAATCCTGAATCAAAAAGAATCTGACAACTTGAAACGTAATCAATATGTCGAAAGACCAAAAATGACTTGGATTGGATTATACCATGTTTTCTCTAAAAGTGTA